CCGCTCGAAGTTTGGTCGGTGGGGCCCGGCCGGGCCCCGCGGGCTCCCGCAGCCTGCGGGCCTTGAAATGCAGCTCCGGGGCTCGCTGTGCGCGCAGGTGTGCCCCGCGGGGGAGGGCGGCGTGCGGTCCTGTCTCTTGTGTGTCTGGGGATGTGCAGCACATTAGTATGCAGCGAGCATACTGCTGGTGCAAGGGAATACGGCGGCGGTGCCACATGTCCGAGTTCGTGCTGATGCAGAGCCCATAAATTACACTTGAGTGTTCGCTCTTCTGCTCCCAGTCTTGGCTCCTGTGCTTAGTCTAGTTGGGGTTTTTCTCTCCCTTTTCGGCGGGAAAAGAAAAAATATCATAATATTATTTTTTACTAATAGCACTGGTGTATGGCTCTGGTGAGGTTTGAGTATGCGTTTCTTTGAGAGGTGTAGTGAGAAGGGCAAAAATGCAGGGTCTCCTCTGACTTCGGCAGTGCAGCTGACTTTAATGGCAGTGGCACATCAGCCTGCGTAGAGATAGTTGAGTCCTGATAGTCCTTAGGCACAGACATGCCTTTCTGAATGAAATAATCAAAGATAGCAGGATGTGAGTTGAGTGAAAATCATGGCAAAATTATAAGATTTGCAATTTAGTGCTTCTCCTTTTCTTGCTTCCAGTTTTGATCCTGGAATTCTATTGTTCTTGATGTTTCAAGCTTTTTTTTCTGCTTGGATAAGTGGGAAAAGGTGTGGATTCCACGGTGCATATTGTCATTGATTTACAGTTTGCTTTTCTAAAACTGTTATAATAACAGCTGGATTGCAAGCTTGAAAATGGGAGAATGAAAACACACAGCAGTGTTACAAAGGGGACTGGGATTCATTAGGCTCCTCCAGTCTCAAGCCCTGATTCTGCAAATATTTAAGCATATATGGTTTCACATGCCAGAGTTACCCACCAAGTTCCACCCGATTACAGCTTAATATCAAAATTGTTTACAGTCTCAGGGCCACAGAATAGGCTCACCAAATCTGGTTGAAATTAGACTACTTTTAGTTTTCTGTCTATAATGAAAAGTTTATTCAGTCATTTATGTTTCTTGGGAAAATGGTCTTGCTGAGATAAAGCACTGTTTAAAAAGACTCTGGCATCCATCCTTTAAAAACCTAGACAGAGATTTGTTAGTGAATATGAAAATACTCCATACTGTATATGAAGTATGATATGTTAAGTGTGGCATAAATTACAAGCAAAGTTAAAATCCCTTAATGTGTAAACAAAGCTACAACTTGCAATTCTCCTAATTAACACTGAAAATGTCCATCTTAGGTATGCATGAAGTAAAAGAGAATATGAGGCTTATCTCTTCTCCTTTGCCCAAGTGTGAATGTCTGAAATTAATTTTATCTGTAGCTTAATAGGTGAATAGCTATCAAATATGTATTTATATCTTTAGATCCATGAGATAGATGATGTCCCAGTCAAAAGGATTGTATTTTTGCCTGAAAAATTAGTCTCGGACAATGAATAATTTTTCATTAGTGCAGCATTCCAAAATGCTTGGTACACCTTTAATGAAAGTCTGTGTGGTAGGTACTAAAAGTGACTTTGTGGAAAGTTTATTTTGGCTTCATGAAAATGAGCCTTATTCACTCTTTTTTGGAGGTATGCTAGGACTAACATTCTGTTTCCTTTCATGTATAAATTAAATCATTATAGAACCCACAGGGAAAATATAAATTCTTCGGGCTGAATTAAACATTGGCCTCACACAGTGAAAACTGAAAATACAAAAGCTTTGTGCCTTTGCAGACACAGGACTCCCTTCTGTAAACGGAGGCATGTGAATGGCTTTGCTGATGAAAGTAATTCAGGTAGAAATTGATGAAACTTGTCACTAGAATTCTAATGTTCATATGCTTATGTTTATGAAGAATGATATCCCAGAGAGGGAATTTATATGTAGTTTTATGAAATTTTTAAATTCAGCTACTGTAAACCAGCACTTGCGTATGACCCTCAGTATTCTACTTGATCACAAATTTACTGATGTCTGTGCTGCTTGCTGTTGAATTTATTAAATTTGGATATTTGGAATATTTTACTATCTGGTTAACATCATTTGTGCTTCAAGAGTACAGGGACATGGATAGAAGTGTGATTTATGCAGTCTTAAGGATTAGTGTTCACAGTGCAATCTTACACTAAATTTAGTAGAAGCTTGTAGGAATGCTGGAGAAGAAGCCCATAGAAAGTGCAGGAACAGTTTTGAGAAAATAGATTATAAAGAAGAGGATTTATAGAGTTGAAATTTAGGGGAAATTTGCCATCATTCTTTATGTAAAACTTTATGCTGTAATCATTTAGTATCCACAGGTAATGCAGTGGTAATGCTTCATAGCACACTAGTATATGCAGGGTTTTATATTCTAAATCAAGACAAAAAAGGTCTCTTTTTAAAGAGTAATCCCTTTCTCTGATGGTATCTTAGACCACAATATGCTATGTGCAAGTATGAGCTTATTTTGAGAACTTGGTTGTGACGTCATGCCCTTGACTTTAAATTCAGACTTAAAATTTGTTAGGTGTTGATCTGGGATATCTATGTATCTTCCTTGTATGTAATGAAAAATAAAATCAAATTTCAATAGTGACAGCTAGAGCCAAAAGGAACTTATTAAAACAGGCAGAATTGGTTTCTAACTTGAAGTAGGACTGGTGAATTCCCTGAAACCTCAAAAAAAAAAAAAAAAGGGAGGCAGGGAGAAAGGAAGTGCTAGGAATGAAGATTAGTCAGGCCTCCTTGGATCAGGAGTATTTCAAATAACTTAGGTATTTTCGTCTGGGTACAGTAGGACTGCTGCTTCCCTGTGAGAAGAGATTTAGTGTTACATTGCTGAATAGTCCTAAAGCTGGTTTACCTGTCTGCTGGGAGCACTTGTCTAACAGAGCAGTGTAATGTCATACGCTGTGCTGCTTTGCATAATACTGTTGTTAATTCACAGTTATCTTCAGGTTGTCTTTGGTAATGAAGACCTGTGTGTTCAGCTGGATGCTTGCATCTTGATGAAGCTTGACTCGTATTCTGAATATCAATTTTAAACAAACAACAGTAAAATTTTTAGGATGGATTGCCTGCTTACTGTTCTGTGGTGTTACTATATATTTATATAACAAATATATATAGCAAATAAGCTATTATCTTAATGGGCCCAGGAAAAAAAGAATTAATATAGTTTCTTAATATAATGATGTTAGTACTTTAACATGTGTTGCTCTTGTATCATCTGAAAATGCTTCTCATACTTCAGCTCAGGGTTTTCTTTGCATTCCCATATCGTGGCAATTTCACTTGAGCCCCAAGAAGACTGACTGGGATAATAATGAGTGTGCTAGATTTATTTGTCATCTCTGGCTAGGGTTTTAAAAATGAAAGCCACAATTTATACAAATTTGAGAGCTTGTCCCATTGTTGTGAAAGGTGAAAAATCCCATGTGAAGTACAGATATGTCTTTGTATTTCTCAGAGTCAAGTCTGATTGAGCAACCAGTGAAATGAACATTCCTTACTTCTTCTGTGCCAGGACAGCCTTGCTCAGTTATTCTGTGAGGTTTCTCCAGAGGTGGGCTGGTTCACTTATTATTGGCAGGTGTCTTTTTGTTTGATCCAGTCTTGCATTTAGTGAAATTTAGATTTGATACACTGGGGATTTGTCTAAACAACATGGCAAGTTTTCAGTGGTTTCTGTTCATGGATCTACTACTGCTTGCTTTTCCTTCCTGGTGGACTGTAACACTCTGTTGTGTATTGCTACACTAAGTTTGATAAATGCTGTGTCTATGTGAGTTAAATAAGATGTGAATCTCAGACTTGGCTTTTTGCAGTTCTTTTGAAAGTTTTAGGATTTGTGCAAACCTGAATTACTTCTAACTGGTGACGTGAAGATGTTAAGAACCAAGTGACAGATAAAAAAAAATAAGCAGAAGTGTTTATTTCAATAAGAATGAGCATGAGGGGGGCGTCAAAGTGGTAGTAGACAGAGGTGTAGGAGGGATGTTAGCTTCCCTCCAGATGTGTGCTCTGTTAGCACTTGCAACATAAGGCACCAGAGTCAATGCAAGTTCAGTATTTGTAACAGATATCTGAGGCTATGGTAGTTACAGGCAAACTTACAATACAGTCTGCAAGAAAATTAATGCACTGTTGCATTAACATCTTGTAGGTGGTGACAGTGGATTGGATGGGTTAGGAGGACCAGGAGTTCAGCTTGGAAGCCCTGATAAGAAAAAGCGCAAAGCAAATACACAGGTAAATTCCCTTTGCTTCATTTGAATCTTAATAAACAGTGCACTCAAATGTTGTTTGCTCTCATTGTTCAGAATGTCAGTTTGTTATCACAAATAGCAGCTACATACCAAATATTTCAGTTTTACTTCGAAGTTGAAATCTTCCTAAATACTAATTTTTTGTGATGAAGTTTTTTTAATCTGTGTAAGTTGCCAAAGACATGTAAAGAAAGGAGCACAGTGAGACTGCAACAACTTGTATTTTTACCACAGGGATTTGATTCTGTGACAGACTTGTTTTAATGACTTTGTAGCCATTGGTAGAAATCTGTACAGCAGGAGTAGTTGCCATGAGACTACTTCTGTATGTGTAGGTTTGTGGGCTAATGCATCAGTGCAGTTTCTTAATGCTTTCACCAAACTCTTGGCATACACCCCAGGTGATTTTCAAGCAAAAGCTAAGGCAGGTACAGCTCCTTTCCAGTGAATTGCTGCAATGTGACATTTCTAGGCAGTTTTATTTTCCAGAAAAGAAAGACTCAATACAAAATATCTCAAGCAATTGGATGTCTATAGTGCTGAGTTTTCCTTTGTGTGTTCAGTCAGCTTTGAGTGGGTGTATCTGTTAATTTGGTACTGCCCAGTGGGCAGTATCTTTATTTATGTAGGTGAAACAATCACCTTCTGTTAAGCCTATGCAGAGTCCATTGAGATGTGGATCTGTTTTCTTCATTTTTGTTTTGTTTTAAAGTAGTCATGCTGAAACCTTCTCTGAGAAATATTCAGTTACTTTGCAAGGTTTCACGCCTCTTTCTTGGTGGAGTTTCCTCGTGTTCTGGTGGTAATAACTATAGAGGACATGCAGATTAGCTTGTGTTCCTTCTGATAAGGTTTAACTTTGCACTGCAGCAATTTTTTTAAAAAAATGAATTTTCAGTCTTAGTTTATTAGTGCTTAGGAAGAAGTGCTTTCTGTGACCACAGTTAGTGTGAGGGTGAACCCAGTAGATGTTCCCTACAGGCTAGTCTAGAATGAATTTGAATTGTATGACTGCACTGGTGACATTTAAACAGACTCTGGCCTCCATTGAACACTTGATTATGCTCTGTAACCAGAACATAAGCCTCATGTTTCATACCTACTGACTATGCTTTGCAGACTGCCCACAATCACTGAATGCTCTGTTTGGTATAGAAATGTACACCATGGAATAGTCCGCAGACTATAGAAAATATCAGTCTGCTGACTCCTATATTCTAAATGCCTTTTTTAGGGTTATAGTGCCATTAGGTTCGTATATCCTCATAGAAGTGGGGTGTCTTAAGAGATGTATATTCAGTAACATGAACCCAAAATGAAATTAAGGAAATGGTTCAAATCTGCTCTTCAACATTTGGAAATACTTTGTGTATGTGTTTGTGACAGTTGAATTTCTGTATCGTTCCTTGTCTTTTGTAAAGGATTATGAAATAGAAATCACATATCAAGTAGTATTTTGAACTGCAAACTTTTTAAAACACTGAGCCTACTATAAATCACCACATTATTTGGAGCCCAAGCTCCTCTCCTGCCTCTGTACTGAAATTTCAGACAGCCTGGCAGGGTACAGTGGATGAATTTTACACAACAGCTGAACAGTTCTTTCAGCAGTTATATTGCTAATCCAGAGCCTTTGTGGTTGGTGTGTCTTGCAGGGAAATACTAAAACTAATTAAAGTGTTGTATTTAAAATGTTTATAGGGGTCATCATTTCCTCCTCCATCTGAATATGCTCCACCACCGAACCCAAGTTCTGACCACCTTGTAGCTGCAAATCCATTTGATGACAACTATAATACTGTGTCTTATAAACCACTTCCTTCAGGAAATCCATATTTTAGTAATCCTGGTTATCCTGGCTTTGGAGGCTATAACACTTTCAGAATGCCACCTCACATGCTGCCCAGAGTGTCTTCACCATATGGTGGTTCTTACTCCCTCAGAAATCAGCCACATCCTCTTCCCCAAAACCCTGTTGGCATGGGTTTTAGTCGACCCCACTCTTTCAGCTTTGGTCCACATGATAATCCAGGTTTTGGGAATCAACCACCATATAGCAGTGGTCAGATAAATCAAAATGTCAATATGCCTGCTCAACATTTCAGGCCAAATCCTGGGGAGAACTTTGGCCATTCAGGTCAGATACCTCACCCTGATGTGCCAGCTAACTTTGGTCCTGGAAACAATCCAAATTTTCCAAATTCTCAGCTAGAGTCAAACCATTCTTTTGTTCCTCCACCAAACACGTACAACCAGACGAAATCATCAGCACAAAAGCAAGACTTTAGTCAAGGTGCAAGCAAAGCATCCAGCCAGAACACTGCTGCTCATCAGCATCATCATAGGACAGAGGACGTTGTGAGTCAAGGTAACAGTGAACTGAAAAATATTACTCGAAACAATGTGGTAAATCAGGATAACAGCCATTCTAACAGTGCTGATAACACCAATGCTGGCCACTCAAATGGGACTCAGAGCAAGTCCCGCCAGCCTCGAGGTACTGCTGAAGGATGCAACTCTGAAAAGAGCAGCAAAACACCCCTCCATCCCAGCCGGCACGGACACTCGTCCTCTGAACCCGTCTACCCATGTGGAATTTGTACACATGAAGTCAATGATGACCAGGATGCCATCCTGTGTGAAGCCTCTTGTCAAAAATGGTTCCATCGGATCTGTACAGGCATGACAGAGTCAGCCTATGGCCTTCTCACGGCAGAGGCATCGGCAGTGTGGGGCTGTGACACTTGCATGGCAGACAAGGATGTGCAGTTAATGCGCACGAGAGAGACTGCAGGACCACCTGCACTGAACACAGAGGGCTGACAGCCTGAATGGGTGCTAGTGGAGCAAATACTTGCTATGAAAATTCGGTTACAAATTGGGTACTTCACTTTCTGCAGACAATCAGTTGTGTTTGATTGCTGTCATCTTTTTTTCCCCTAATCTGTTTTCATTCATAAACTTCCATCTCAGCTTTTGTACTCTTAGTTTTATGTGTGCAAATGTTTTACAAGATGGAATATTTTTTGTTTCTGATTAAACTGTAACTGACAATTGATCGGAAGTAGGATGGCATTGACAATATTATTGAAGGAAAAAATGTGCCTGTGTGAATAGCCCTAATTTGCTAGTGTGTATTAAAGTGTTAACTAACGCTAGCATTTAGTGCTTGGTTTTAATGGTACTATATTTGCAAGTACTCATTACTTTGTTTTTTTCTTTTGGCGTGAATGTCTGTTATTGATGTTCTTGATAGCCTTTCTTTGAATATAGTAGAGATGACATGGAGGAATGTGCAGTACTAATAGTTGTTATTTTAGGGTAAATACAGAGAATTTTGTATATGCTTTTTCCTATTTTTGAAGCAAAGCATTAATGTGCTATTCGAAAATCATGAATTCATGCTTAGTAACATAATGAAAGCCACTAACTATTACATATTTCTGTTTCCTTGAAAAGGCAATAATCTCTTGACTTCTCAGCAATTACTTGCTGAAGGCTCTTTATAGGTCTTGCATTATTTGGAAATTGTTGTGAAATGGGATTAAATTGGAAAAAGAACACATTGAGTTTATGAAGTCTACTGCTTTAAATCTAGAGAATGCCAAAACTAAGGTTGCACATGTAACCTTAATTCATTTATCTCGAGGACATACCTTGGGATACAGTCTTTGCATCTGACACGGTTGTGCAGTCATGCACCTCTCTCTCATTCTTTCTCACTGATGGTTCCAGTCTCCTGCCTCAGTGCTGCCTGAGAATTGTGGATGAAATAGTGCACGGAAAATCCTGCCCAGTTTCTAAGGCTGTCAGCTCCAGCCTGCTCAGTCACCCTGAGCTTACACAGTCCACTTGGCATGAAGGAGGGAGCAAGGCAATGGAGTGTGCTCTGCACAGGCTCTGAATTGCATGATAATTTGCCTAGCAAAGTCTTGAAACTAAATTCCCACCACTGCCTATAGCCAGAGGGGGTGGGAAATCTAAGGTGAAGAAAGAAAATACAGCTGTCATATCAGGTGAGTTTAGTTCACATCAGAACTTAAGTAGTCAGAACTTTATCTCCTTTGATAAACCTGATATCCTACTAACAAATATGAATGGCACTAGAGCTTCATATGTGATGCTAAGAAATTCTATTTTAATAAGGGTGATTTGATCTTATTCTTGATCTTAAAAATAACTCCCCTTTTTTTTTTAAATGTTGGGAAGCATCCAGCCTTGAACACTTCAGCCTTAGCAGTGTGATGAAGTTGCATGTGCAATTGAAAAAGTTTATTTTGAGAGAAATGTTTTGAATTAATAAAAGGAGGCACTGTGATAACAGATTCTGCTTGGAATATGTACCACTGTGCTGGAAGCAGTCTATAAACAGCAATTAAATCATATGTCAAGCTTACAGGTACTAGTCATGGTAATGACTTTTAATGTGATAAATTTTTCAGATCTGTGATGATGAGAGATATAGGAGTTTATAGAGAATACAGTAATCTAATAAAGAGGTAGTTTTTATGGTAAGCCATGCTAATGAGTGAAAGTAAGGCCTGTTTGATAGTTCACTGTCGTGTTTGATTTTAAATGGGCTCTCCTGTGTACGTTCCTGGAAGATACTGTGCAAATCTACACAACTTGTTTTATTTCAAAAGTGAAAAGTTTTGCTGTATAAGTGCAGTATTACCCTACCTTTTGTTTTGGTTTTTTTTTTTGTTTTTCTGTTTGTTTTGTTGTTGTTTGTTTTTTTGCTTGCCTCTCATCAGGAAAAAGAAAATAATGCCTAAAGTGTAAGTGACATATTTCATATCTTAAAAATTTTCCTGTATGGGGATATAAAGTGTAAGATAGATCCAGAGCTTCTGTTTTCATCACTGGTTGCTTTAATTTAGTACATAAACTAGACTTAATCTTGTGGTTTTTAGAGGTGTGATTTTAAAATCACCAACAAAAAGCCAAACAAGCAACAACCTTTGTTAGAGAGATTTATTCTTCAGTAGTTTTCCTAATGACTGACAGACTGTTTGAATTTGCTTTTGGTATCTGAAGTAGTAATTAAACCAAACCTTGTTTAGATAGATTTGTTCCTCTGGGAATCAGTTTAATCTCTGCAACAATTAGCACTGTGAACATAATGGAGCTGGTTCACACCTACAATAATGTAAATGAAATAAAAATTTTGCTCAGTGAAAATTCAACCAAGACTCCAGTGATGATATTGTTATCTTTCCCACTCCCACACCCCATGCCTCTTATGAGAGGATTTTGGGGCATTTGTTCTCAGAAGTCCAATTCATGTTTTAACATTTTGGAGCAGACATTGTATTTAAAATAGGCATGAATTTCTTAATCTTTTCCTCAACCCAACATGAAGTTAGGTAACTATTTTCTAGATTAGCTGTTGTTGGGACATTAGTCTTTAAACATAGTGTTCTTAAGTACTTAAAATCAACTGGAATATAATTTTATAAGGCCTTAAATTGTGTATTTGTGAAACTTACTCTAACAGTTTCTTTTACATTTGTCTAAACTGGTATTAAATTTGGTTTGTAACCCAGTAAATTTTCTGCATTTATTAACCTGTAAGTTCAAGGCATTAGCAAATGTCAATGATAGCAAATAAAAACAAATGAACAACCAACCCCACACTTGTTAGCACACTGATCTGAGAGACAGGACTGACAAGATCACCAGAAGTCATCCAGCCAATATGCTTGCCCTGCCGATATGCTCTTGGCATACTTGAACTCTTTCTCTAGAGAGCAGTTATATTTTGGTTTTCTCTGCATGTGTTGAATAAGTAGTAGTTCAAGTATGCACAGGAAAAACAGCAATCATGTTTAATTAGTAAGGTACTAGGAAAATGTCAGCTGATTAGCACTAGAAGTTAGTTCTAGAATGATGGGTGGGAGGGAGGGCGGGAGGGCTGACTAGAATAGGTGAGGTTTTTTGTAATACATGAAGCAATTTGTATTGAACTCTCATGCGCTTCTTTCATTACTGGTGGTTTAGACTGTACTGGTGCTGCACACCAAAAATATTGCAAAGATTTTGTAAATCTTGCAAACCTTAACATTTTTCTGGGAAATGCCTGTGTTCTTTTTAAATAGTTTCTGGTCATGATCAGAAATGCAGCCTTATATTGCTCCCAAATATTTTTTTCCTCCCCAGGCTGAAATAAACAGGTATAAATTAGATTCTGCTGTCCTTAATACTTTTTTGCTAGTGACCAATTTTAAATGAGAAAACATGTAAGTGACAGTGCTGGATATAGACTAGAGGGCAGGTAGCAAAAATCCTGTTTCTTCCTGTTTTCCTCATTCCTTCTACACCTTGAAACTAGCACGTTAACTGTTTGTGCCTGTCTCTTCAGAAAGAAAATGGGACTGATGCTTACTTCCAAAGGTTCTTTAGAGGCCCAGTTATTATTTGAGATCTTCAGATGAAAGAAGCTAGAGAAAAGTAATGAAGTTTGCTCTACTTAAAACAAAAATATAATTTTGGGGGCTGCTCAAAGAAGATTATACTTTGTGACCTCTGAAGTTTTTAATCTAAGAACCGGTTTTGTAATCACATTTTTCAGGCTTAATTTCAAGCATGTGAGAATTAATGAAGTCAGTGAAACTGCATGCACATAGTCAAGAATGTTTTAAAGTGTTTGCAGTTTGGGGCCTGTGATATTTGCAAGTAAAATGCTTTTATGGTTTGAGATTTTTACAAAATCAGTGGTGTTAAAATGTAGCACCTTTTTAACATTTATCTTTATTCCAACTTAATACAGTAACACATCTGCATTAAATATATCCCTTACATTTTATAAATAAACATTGCCTGTCAGTAGAAGTATTGGTGTAACATTTCTAAAAAAGGAAGTCATGCTTCTTATCATGTTGTATGTGACTTAAATGAATGTTTCATATTAAAACTAATCTTTCCTTATGTACTGCTTAAATATACCTGTTTTGGGATATCAGTTCAGTACTTTTTATACAATCTTGAATGTGTTCCACATTGGTGACATGTATTTTTGCAACAACTTTTTTGTTTTGATTTTAAATTAGAGCATGTCTGATGTAATACATGCATTAGTGCTGTGGTGTGTGACAAAGTTAATGTATGTAATTCAAATTGGAAAAAGTTTCCAGACTTTGTCCAACATTAACCCTGTGGCCAGGGATTAAATTACTATGTAATACAAATTATTTCATACCATGATGTGTTTTAAGCTACTCTATGAAGTATGTGAAGCATTATTGTTTATGGATTGGTAGCTGGTGAGGTATCTTGCATAGAATGATGTATGATAGATGGTAGCAATTCATGATAACTAAAACTGAGTACCTTTCAGAACACACAGCACTGATATGCGTTATCATCTTGTTGCCATTACTTAATATGAATTTCTTAATATTTTCCACTGGTAAACAGGTGAACATTTAGTAATCAGCTCTTGGGTGTGAAAATTCTCTTCTAACACTCTTTACTTGTTTAACAAAACATGCAATTTTTTTTGTTTGTTTAGAGGGCATATAACTTTTTTGTCTATTGGATGTGATTAGATATACGCAGGAGGATGTAGAAATGGATGTATTTTAAAGTTATTCTGCAGTTGCTAAGTTTTGGCAGAAGCTTTCTATATTAGAATAGACTCTTCCCTAAAATTGGAAACTAAGTGTACTTAGCAGAACTCTTTAAGGCAATATAACTATCCTACACTACATCTTGTGTTATGCACATTCACTTCTTTATGTGGAAGTGATTACTTCTGCTTTATATAGAAGAGAAGTCATTTTAGTGGCCTAGTGCTGTGTGTCATCAATTCTGGGGTAATTAGTTCTGAGTGGTGTTCACACCCTCAGAGGTGCTGCCTCTAGCTTGAAGTTTTCAGTGTCACCCTTTGTCTCCTGGTTTAGAAATGGCTTAGCCCAGCACCATAGGGAATAACTATTTCTGCATTGTTTACCATACATAATTTTCCTTTTCATGTTCAAAGAAACTGTCTCAAAATAATTTTTTGATCCAGCCCCACCTTTTTTTTTTACTTGGAGATTTGTGCACTGTATTTCAGGAATTGCTGTACTGGAGACATTTTGGGATTGGAGTTATGAGAGTCGTCTGTTCCTGGACACTCATCTTTTCCTCTACAGAACTATCTAAATCTGAGTTTCCATGTAATTTAAGGAGGGCAAGCTCTTAATATATTATTTTTTCTTTTTGTTTTTCTTTTTCTTTCTTGATAGTTTTTTTTTTTTCCTGAAATGTGAAATGATACAAATTTTTTAGTGATTTTTATTTAAAATGTGGTCTTTCCTCCAAGTTTGTGCTTGTGGCCTTTAGAACAAGCACTGTGGTCTTTAGGGCCTTCTGACTTGGAATTTTTTGTCCACATTCTCCTATTAGAGTTAAAAGTGAGTAGAAAAAGGCAAGTTACCAATCTACTGCCATCCAAACAATGCAAAATATAAGCTGATTAAGATTGTTGACATTTAATTTTTTTTTTGTTAGTAATGATGTGATATTTTTACCTTCTAGAAGAACAAAGAACATCTATCAGAATCTGATTCAAGTGTTCTTG